GAACTAACACGTTAGTAAACCTGCTACAATCATGCAGTACAGTGTACAGCAAGCAGTTGAGCAGTTACACTGGCAGGCCCCAGTGGCAATAAATTAATAAAACCAAAAGCTTACCTTGACTTGGAAGAGTTCCAGTGTTGGATAGCCATAGCCAGCTAGCTAACATAGCATCCCTCTCTGTTTGAACCGGGTGTTTGAGTAGGCTAAACTAGCAAGCTGCATTGCTAGCTAAGTAAGTAAAAGTGAAAGTAAATATACACTAGCAGTCAAAAGTTTGGACACACTGACTCATTCAAGGGTTTTTCTTAATTTTTTTATAATTTCTTACATTGTAGAATAATAGTGAAGACATCAAAACTATGAAATAACACATATGGAATCATGTAGTAACCAAAAAAGTGTTAAACAAATCAAAATATATTTTATATTTGAGATTCTTCAAAGTAGCCTCCCTTTGCCTTGATGACAGCTTTGCACATTTTGGCATTCACTCAACCAGCTTCATGAGGTAGTCACCTGGAATGCATTTAAATTAATAGGTGTGCCTTCTTAAAAGTTAATTTGTGGAATTTCTTTCCTTCTTAATGCGTTTGAGCCAATCAGTTGTGTTGTGACAAGGTAGGGGGGTTTACAAAAGATAGCTCTATTTGGTAAGAAACACGAGCAATGGACATTAGACCGGTGGAAATTTGTCCTTGGTCTGGAGTCCAAATGTCAGATTTTTGGTTCAAACCGCCGTGTCTTTGTGAGACGCGGTGTGGGTGAACAGATGATCGGCGCATGTGTAGTTCCCACCGTAAAGCATGGATGAGGAGGTGTTATGGTGTGGGGGTGCTTTGCTGGTGACACTGTCTGTGATTTATTTCCAATTCAAGGTGCACTTAACCAGCATGGCTACCACAGTATTCTGCAGTGATACGCCATCCCATCTGTTTTGGGCTTAGTGGGACTATCATTTGTTTTTCAACAGAACAATGACCCAACACACCTCCAGGCTGTGTAAGGGCTATTTTACCAAGAAGGAGAGTGATGGAGTGCTGCATCAGATGACCTGGCCTCCACAATCCCAAGACCTCAAGCCAATTTAGATGGTTTGGTTTGGCCCCAGGTTGAGAAAATGCCAAGAGTATGCAAAGCTGTCATCAAAGCAAAGGGTGGCTATTTGAAGATTCTCAAATATAAAATTTGTTTAACACTTTTTTGGTTACTACATGATTCCATATGTGTTATTTCTAGTTTTGATGTCTTCACTATTATTCTACAATGTAGAAAATAGTACAAATAATGACAAACCATTGAATGAGTAGGTGTGTCCAAACCTTTGACTGGTACTGTATATATACAATAAATAAAGTGCCTTGTAAAAGTATTCACCCCCCTTGGCGTTTTTCTTATTTCGATGCATTACAACCTGTAATTTAAATGGATTTTTATTTGTATTTCATGTAATGGACATACACATATTAGTCCAAATTGGTGAAGTGAAATGAAAAAAATTACTTGTTTCAAAGAATTCAAAAAAAATAACAAAGGTTATTATTGAAAATAATGTAGAAAATTATTGAAATTCCACCATAATTTGCAAATAAATTCATTAAAAATCCTACAATGGATTTTTTTTTCTCAATTTGTCTGTCATAGTTGACGTGTACCTATGATGAAAATGACAGGCCTCTCTCATCTTTTTAAGTGGGAGAACTTGCACAATTGGTGGCTGACTAAATACTTTTTCCCCCACTGTAGGTATACTTAGATATGGTAGGAGACATAGAGTATGTGTAAGATGCAGTGTTTAATATGCAGTTGGCTTGGTTGCAGAGGTCATGAAACATGACATGAGGAAAATAGTAGAGTAAGCAGATCAGACAAGCTGTGAGAAAGTTGTGGGCTGGGATTTTCAACCCTCTTCATAAACACTACACAGAGTATACCAAACATTAGGAACACCTTCCTAATATTGAGTTGAACACAGAACAGCCTTAATTCGTTGGGGCATGGACTCTACAAGGTGTTGAAAGTGTTCCACGGGGATTCTGGCCCATGTTGACTCCAATGCTTCCCACAGTTGTGTTAAGTTGGCTGGATGTCCTTTGGGTGGTGGACCATTCTTGATACACACAGGAAACTTTTGAGCTTGAAAAACCCAGCAGTGTTGCAGTTCTTGACACAGACTGGTGCGCCTGGTACCTACTACCATACCCTGTTGAAAGGCACTTAAATATTTTGTCTTGCCGATTCACCCTCTGAATGGCACACATACACAATCCATGTCTCGAGGTTGACAAATCCTTCGTAAACATGTCTCCTCCCCTTCATCTGACATCAATAAGGGATCATAGCTTTCACCTGAATTCACGTGGTCAGTCTGTCATAGAAAGAGCAGGTTCTTAATGTTTTGTATACTCAGTGTTTTTTAACAGTTAAATTAGCACAAAATCTGTGTGTAACTCAGACTTCTGCATAAGTCATGCAATGATGTCAAATAGACTTGCTCCAAAATTCGAGTTACATTTACGATTTGGCCCTAAGAGGTCTATCTTGCCCATATTTGTATTATTGTAACCTATATTTTTATTACACCCGTCCTGTCCTTGATGTGATGCTGGCCTCCTTGGAGTTTCACAATATTTGGTCAGTGAACAGGTGTGAACCAGTGTCTGATGCAGTGCCAATGTCTTCCACCCACACAGCCTCCAGCCCCCACATCTCTGCAGATGACTCATCTCAGATGAATACCACCTGCAATATGCTGTCAGATTTATTTTAAGGACATTTTGCAGTGTCAGAATATCTCCAAGACACAGGTTACATGGCCTACATTTGATTAAACAGCTTCTAAGATGAAATGTTCGCCATGATGAGTGAAAAAAAGGTGTCAAAGAGAGAGAAAGAGAAAGCAAAGACATGAATTAGGCTGTAGCAATTACAATGTTATTTTGTATCAATGGAACTTACTGTACGTTGACCAATGGATGGAATGATATTTATTTTATTTACATGTATTTAAACAGGGAAATCCCATTGAGACCAAGGCCTCTTTTAAAAGGGAGCCCTTCACACAATCATACAAATTCACAGTATTTACAATTCCAATGTGATAAAAACATACAATATTTACAAGCAATTTAAGAAAAGTAACAAAACACGATCATGAAAAACAAAACATTCCTCAGGAAAAAAGTAATCAACCAGCCGTCTGAACTGCCCTAGAGGCACCAAAACATCCAACTTTAGAGAGCTCTGGAGATCATTCCACAAGTAAGGTGCAAAAAAAATAAACGCAGATCTACCTAACTCAGTGGAGACCGAGGGGATCTCCAGAGTTAGCCATCACTGTGATCGTGTCTGGTGACTCGTACGTCTGTAATTTAACAATGAAGTCAGGTAATTGCGGAAGTTTGCACAAGAGGGCTTTAATCAAAAAGAGAGCAGTCCATTGATCTATGAGCCTTAAGAGAGGGCCAGCCTACTTTCTGATACAGAATGCAGTGATGTGTACTGAACCTATCGCCCATAATAAAGCTTAGTGCGCTATGATAAACTGCGTCCAATGGTTTCATATAAATGATATCACCACAGTCTGAAGCCGGAATGAATGTTGACTGAATGATTTGTTTTCTGCTATTTAAAGGCATGCCCTATTCCTATAAAGGAAGCCCATTTTAATTCAACATTCTAACAATAACAATATGTTCAATAACAAGTCTTCCCCTTTCCAGTAGCATGCTGAGGAGAAAAAGGAATGTTCTGAATGGTTTACTGATTAGGCTATGTCCAGTAACTTCTGGGAAGTCTCAGGCCCCTCAATATTTCTGGATTTGTTTTCCTCTGTCCTTACATCCATAGTGAGTCGGGAACTTGACCAGTGGCAATGTGGGATTAAGGAATGCCTGGATCTATCCCAGAAAGCCACAACAAAGAGGCCGCTAAAGAAAGGGCACCATTGACATGTTCTGTTGCAGAGGGACAATCTTATTATTGAGGTTTTCTGCAAAGACTTGGGGCTTTGGATTTAATCTCACACAATTGTTATCTTCCTAACAAGCTTACTGGTAAATAGATTTGGGCAGATAATCAAATGATCAGTCTGTAGTCTAAAGATTATACATAAAACAAATATTAGAATAATGATGTAGAACAAGCACATCATCAATCATTATAGCTATGCAAATCAAATAATTAGCTGACTGATTTAACTCATCGAGGCAGTTCCTCATGTCCAATAGTGTTGCAGTTCCGATATCCAATCCTCCTGTAATCCAAAATTGAGTTTGGCGCAGGGTAGGCTTTTACACTGAGCACAGCCCTTGTGTGGATAGAATCACGTCCTTGTGAAGCCGACAGGGAGTATTAGGGACGGTCCATGTAAGGAAAAAATCACTGTCCTCGAGTCGTGGACAATATGGGACAGTCTGACAGCACTGCAATTAGGTCTCATACAGTCACCTCGAAGTGCTGCGGTCGTGAACATGTAGTTTCCCTTGAACTAGATAATATTGAAATTTCAGACACATTTTGTTGCCATGTCCAATAAGTCTTGCAGCTGCAATTAACAGAAATAGTAATTGTAGTAATAAACATTAAAGACAACTTAACTAGCCATAATATAGGAAGCTTTTGCAACAATTTACTATTTACATTGTAGACTGTGTCTGTTCAGTGACTTGAATGTAACCCAGGGATCCACTGGCCTTAAGTTCTCTAAGAACTATCCATCATGAAGTGGCTCCCTTCAGTAGAACAATGTCCTTGTGCCCCTGGTATGACACATCCATGGGTTAAATCTGTAGAGGACTTGGACTGTGGGGGCGGGCGAGCAACAAGAATAATGGGAACTTTGTTCGACCCGCATGAGGCTTGAGGTGGAACATTCATCTTAATTCAGCAAAATGTCCAGCAGTCTAAAAGGGACTGCCAGCAAAGGGGTTCCTTCAGAACTGGTCTACGTGTAAAGAAAGGCACAACTATAGTGTGAAAGGATAGCAGAGGGCTCTGCAATCATGCCGACCCGAAAGATAACACTACTGGAAGCCTGGGATAGGCACAGGACCTTTCGTAGGAAGAAAGCTAAAGACCTGAAAATATCTCCTCGTCTACTGTAAGTGGATATACACTTTAAGGAGGGTGGTGATTGGGGTTCACAGTCTCAATGTTAGGTATCTAGTTGTGAGGTAGAAGTTCTTTGTTTGTCCTTAAAGATGTGATGGTAGTCAGTGCTCAGTTATCAACATGGTTGGTACACTCAACTTTAATAAAATAAAACATAATTCAATTGTTAATAATATCCTAAATTGAATGGACCACATTGGTAGTTGTATGCAAGAGGGAATTGGTTTGATTGTTTCAGCCAGCGTCGACAGGTTTTGTTGTGCTAAGTAACATTTTATCTACATACATACTATTGTGATGATTTTATCCTGGATTTTGTCAATATTTTGTGATGAGTACAGCAAAGCAGATCTTCAACACATTATTTTACAGTCTTATTGCAACTGGAAGTTTTGAGAAATTATATGATACAAATGTGTATTTCCTTGTATTATCAACTGGAGCACAGTTTTTTACTTTTTGTATTAGTTGTTCAGTAACCCAGCGTGAGACAGCTGGTTAGTGTGTGTGTGTGTGTGTGCATGCATGCACACCTGTGGAGCAACCAGCCACACTGCCTAGGTATAGGAGTTTCCATTGACAAAAGAGGAAGGGGATTCTGTAAAGTGGTTTCAAGTGTAAGGGTTGGTGTGAGGTGTGACCCAGGTGCGGTGCAGGATAGACAGTAGGCAGAAGGCAGAGATGGTGAAAACAAGGATCTTTACTGGTGGTCCCGAAGAAAGGTGGAGCAAATAAGTCTCCAAAAACAGGCTGACAGCCAAAACACGAAATAGTAACTACGACTGAAATAATAAAGAAACAGGGAGAACACTTCTTGAGTACCTGTACCATACTTCTCCGATCAGACACTGATTAGTACTGCTGAGCATAGAGAAACTAGCAGAGAAAACGGAGCAAGGGAACACAGGGAAGTGAGGGCATAAATACACAGGTGAACAGGTAGACACAGGTGACACCAATATGATAATGATTAGTCCAGACTGTGAGTGAGGAGGTGCCTAAGGTTGTCGGAGGATGACACCTAGTGTTTTACATCAGAACTGCGACCCCCTCCTGAAACATTCAAGGCTACGGATTGTTGTACAAAGTACAGATGAAGGCATGACTGCTCAGAACACAGAAAAGGACCCACATTTCAGCTGAAGCTGCTGCACAGTGTCCTCACCTAGTCTTTTCTCTGTGTCCATGTCCCTCTCCATGAAATACCCTTATGAAACAATATGCTAAAACACGTTGTTTTAAATAATGCATTTTAAATATGTATTTTTTCAACTTCCATTTTCGTGCCTAATATCTTTTCATCTTGCTGATCCATCCCTCCAACTCACAGCCCACTGCTGAGAGACCCCGGTGTGGTTGCATCTCTCGCCCAGCAAAATGTCAAGATGGTCGCCCTGCTCCCTCCCACAGGCACCGAAGTGTTCCGCCGCTTCACCCTTGAGTCGCTGGCGGAGATCGAGAGGCGGATGGCAGAGGAAGCAGTGGAGCAGGAGAGAAAAAAGGCCCTGAACATTGAGGTACATTTAACATTTTAGTCATTTAGCAGACACTTATCCAGATTCCAGAGTGACTTTACGATCAGTGGATTCAAAAAAGGTAGTTAAAACGACCACATATCACAGTCAAGCCATTGCAAGTAAAATTTTCTTTCAAAATAGCTGCTATCTGCTAAATCAGTGCTAGTAAGAAATGGTAAAGTGTTAGTAATCATGTTGTTTTTGTTACCATTTCGAAGGTGGCAGAGGAGGACCTGCCAAAGCCAGCTGTCGACCTGGAGGCCGGCAAGGCCCTGCCATTCATCTACGGAGACCCGCCACCTGAGCTGTTCAACACGCCCCTGGAGGAACTGGATCCTTTCTACAAATCACACAAAGTGAGCACTGCAGCCCCCATCCCTTAGTAGCCTGAAGACTGAGTGTCCACATAACCAGACATTGTCACAAAGTCATTTCCTTTACAATAAGATCAAATCAGATGTGTATTTTGACAGACTTACACATTCCAAATAATATTATTATACATCTTACGTTATTATTCAGAGGGTAAATGCCCTCAGATTACAACAAAAATTGATGTATCATGATGATTCATTCAAACTCTATTTGGCTAATATCCTTAAGACAAACATGAATACGTTCAGTTAAAGTAAAGATAATATTTTTTTTACTAATCTTTATTTCTTGTTTTTCAGACCTTTATTGTCATAACCAAAGGGAATACAATCTTCAGGTTCAATGCTGAGCCTGCCTGCTACATTCTGACACCCTTCAGTATTCTCAGGAGAGGATCCATCAAAATTCTCATACATTCATATCCTTTCAATACAAGTATCACACTGATCTACATGATAAATAAATTGAACTTAAATCAAATCGAATCAAATTTTATTGGTCAAATATACGTGTTTAGCAGATATTATCACGGGTGTAGCAAAATGCTTGTGTTTCTAGCTCCGACAGTGCAGTAATATCTAACAAGCAATATCTAACAATTTCACAACATATACCCAATACACACAAATCTAAGTAAAGCAATGGAATTAAGAATATATAAATAAATATATGGACGAGCAATGACAGAGCGGCATAGGCTAGAATAGTATGTACATATGAGATGAGTAATGCAAGATATGTAAACATTATTAATGTGACGAGTGTTCCATTTATTAAAGTGGCCAGTTATTTCAAATCTATGTATATAGGCAGCAGCCTCTAATGTGCTAATGAAGGCTATTTAACATGGCCTCGAGATAGAAGCTGCTTTTCAGTCTCTCGGTCCCAGCTTTGATGCACCTGTACTGACCTCGCCTTCTGGATGATAACGGGGTGAACAGGCAGTGGCTCGGGTGGTTGTTGTCCTTGATGATCTTTTTGGCCTTCCTGTGACATCGGGTGCTGTAGGTGCCCTGGAGGGCTGGTAGTCTGCCCCTGGTGATGCGTTGGCCAGACCGCACCACCCTCTGGAGAGCCCTGCGGTTGAAGAGGATCCTGCTGCATGTTCAGAGTCCAAGAAGTGTGCTAGTATAGTGTGTGTGTGAGTGTGAGTGTGAGTGTGTGTGTGTGTGTGTGTGTGTGTGTGTGTGTGTGTGTGTGTGTGTGTGTGTGTGTGTGTGTGTGTGTGTGTGTGTGTGTGTGTGTGTGCGCGAGTGCGTGATTGCATGTGTACTAAGGTGCGGAGAATCAGAGCAGGTGGTCAGTCCAGTTCAAGTGATCAGCAGTCTGATGGCTTGTAGATAGAAACTGTCTCTGAGCCTGTTGGTATCAGACCTCATGCTCCGATACCATGTGCCCAACAGTAAGGGAGTGAACAGCTCGTGGCTGGGGTGTGTGGGGTGATGATGCTGCTGGCTTTCCTCATCACCGTTTCGAGTAGATGTCCTGGATGGATGGGAGCACGGTCCAAGTACTGGGCCATCTTCATTACCCGCTGGAGGGCCTTGCAGCCATGGATGGAGCAATATCCATACCAGGCCGTGATGCAACCGGTCAGGATGCTCTCGATGGTGCAGCAGTAGTATTTGAAGAGGACCCGGGGTGGCATTGCGAATTTCTTCAGCCACCATAGGAAGTAGAGACACTGTTGCACCCTATTGACAAGAGTGGTGGTGTTGTTGGTCCATGTCATGTCTTCGGTGATGTGGACGCTGAGGAACTTAAAACTGCTGAGTCTCTCTACTGCAGTCCTGTTGATGTGGATTGGGCATGTTCCCTCCTCTGCTTCCTGAAGTCAACAAGTTGCAGAAGGTGGTGTCCAGACCCAGGGCTCTGAGCTTGGTGTCGAGTTTGGAGGGAACAATAGTGTTGAATGCTGAACTGTAGTCAATGAACAGCATCCTCACATAGGTGTTCCTTTTGTTCAGATGTGTTACGGCTGTGTGAATGGCGATGGAAATGGCATCTTCTGTGGATCTGTTGGAGCAATAGGCAAATTGGGGTGACGACCGGGGTGAGTGCGATGGGGCGATAGTCATTTGGGCATGTCACCTTGTTTTTCTTGGGCACTGGGACGATGGTGGTCTCTTTGAAGCAGGTGGGGACTACAGCCTGGGACAGGGACAGGGACAGGTTGAAGATGTCAGAGAAGACACCCGCCAGCTGGTCAGCACACGCTCTGAGGATGCGGCCAGGGATGCCATCTGGGCCGGCGGCTTTGTGAGTATTTACTCTTTTGAGAGTTTTCCTCATGTCAGCCTCGGAGAGCGAAAGCACCTGGTCGTCTGGAGCAGCCAGACTCTTCCTGGATGGCTCGGTATTGTCTGCCTCGAAGCGAGCATATAATTTGTTAAGCTCGTCTGGGAGGGAGGCTTCGGTGGGCACCACACAGCTGGATTTGCCTTTGTAGTCCGTGATAGTCTAGTCCTTGCCACATGCGTCGCGAGTCTGAGTTGTCCAACATCAATTAAAGTTTGAGTCTGTATTGTCTTTTTGCTTCCCTAATGGATTTGCGGAGCTCGTACCTGCTTGCCTTGTACATGTCGCAAGCCACCGAGTCATCTGGGTTTTTTCTGCTGACACCCCCTACAATGTCAATACTTTGTAGAGCCACCTTTTGCAGCAATTACAGCGGCAAGTCTCTTGGGGTATGTCTCTATAGGCTTGGCACATCTAGCCACTGGGATTTTTGATCATTCTTCAAGGCAAAACTGCTCCAGCTCCTTCAAGTTGGATGGGTTCCGCTGGTGTACAGCAATCTTTAAGTCATACCACAGATTCTCAATTGGATTGAGGTCTGGGCTTTGACTAGGCCATTCCAAGACATTTAAATGTTTCCCCTTAAACCACTCGAGTGTTACTTTAGCAGGATGCTTAGGGTCATTGTCCTGCTGGAAGGTGAACCTCCGTCCCAGTCACAAATCTCTGGAAGACTGAAACAGGTTTCCCTCAAGAATATCCCTGTATTTAGCGGCATCCATAATTTCTTCAATTCCGACCAGTTTTCCAGTCCCTGCCGATTAAAAACATCCCCATGGTGTTCCCGGGGAGACGAGAGGTGTTGGATTTGCGCCAGACATAGCGTTTTCCTTGATGGCCAAAAAGCTCAATTTTAGTCTCATCTGACCAGAGTACCTTCTTCCATATGTTTGGGGAGTCTCCTGCATGCCTTTTGGCGAACACCAAACCTGTTTGCTTATTTTTTTCTTTAAGCAATGGCTTTTTTTCTGGCCACTCTTCCGTAAAGCCCAGCTCTGTGGAGTGTACGGCTTAAAGTAGTCCTATGGACAGATACTTTAATCTCCGCTGTGGAGCTTTGCAACTCCTTCAGGGTTATCTTTGGTCTCTTTGTTGCCTCTCTGATTAATGCCCTTCTTGCCTGGTCCGTGAGTTTTGGTGGGCGGCCCTCTCTTGGCAGGTTTGTTGTGGTGCCATATTCTTTCCATTTTTTAAAAATGGATTTAATGGTGCTCCGTGGGATGTTCAAAGTTTCTGATATTTTCTTATAACCCAACCCTGATCTGTACTTATCCACAACTTTGTCCCTGACCTGTTTGGAGAGCTCCTTGGTCTTCATGGTGCCGCTTGCTTGGTGGTGCCCCTTGCTTAGTGGTGTTGCAGACTCTGGGGCCTTTCAGAACAGGTGTACTGTATGTATGTATGTATGTATGTGTATGTATGTATGTACTGTATGTGTGTGTATATATATATACACTGCTCAAAAAAATAAAGGGAACACTTAAACAACACAATGTAACTCCAATTCAATCACACTTCTGTGAAATCAAACTGTCCACTTAGGAAGCAACACTGATTGACAATACATTTCACATGCTGTTGTGCAAATGGAATAGACAACAGGTGGAAATTATAGGCAATTAGCAAGACACCCCCAATAAAGGACTGGTTTTGCAGATGGTGAACACAGACCACTTCTCAGTTCCTATGCTTCCTGGCTGATGTTTTGGTCACTTTTGAATGCTGGCGGTGCTTTCACTCTAGTGGTAGCATGAGACGGAGTCTACAACCCACACAAGTGGCTCAGGTAGTGCAGCTCATCCAGGATGGCACATCAATGCGAGCTGTGGCAAGAAGGTTTGCAGTGTCTGTCAGCGTAGTGTCCAGAGCATGGAGGAGCTACCAGGAGACAGGCCAGTACATCAGGAGACGTGGAGGAGGCCGTAGGAGGGCAACAACCCAGCAGCAGGACTGCTACCTCCGCCTTTGTGCAAGGAGGAGCAGGAGAAGCACTGCCAGAGCCCTGCAAAATTACCTCCAGCAGGCCACAAATGTGCATGTGTCTGCTCAAACGGTCAGAAACAGACTCCATGAGGGTGGTATGAGGGCCCGATGTCCACAGGTGGGGGTTGTGCTTACAGCCCAACACCGTGCAGGACGTTTGGCATTTGCCAGAGAACACCAAGATTGGCAAATTCGCCACTGGCGCCCTGTGCTCTTCACAGATGAAAGCAGGTTCACACTGAGCACACGTGACAGACGTGACAGAGTCTGGAGATGCCGTGGAGAATGTTCTGCTGCCTGCAACATCCTCCAGCATGACCGGTTTGGCGGTGGGTCAGTCATGGTGTGGGGTGGTATTTCTTTGGGGGGCCGCACAGCCCTCAATGTGCTCGCCAGAGGTAGCCTGACTGCCATTAGGTACCGAGATGAGATCCTCAGACCCCTTGTGAGACCATATGCTGGTGCGGTTGGCCCTGGGTTCCTCCTAATGCAAGACAATGCTAGACCTCATGTGGCTGGAGTGTGTCAGCAGTTCCTGCAAGAGGAAGGCATTGATGCTATGGACTGGCCCGCCCGTTCCCCAGACCTGAATCCAATTGAGCACATCTGGAACATCATGTCTCGCTCCATCCACCAACGCCACGTTGCACCACAGACTGTCCAGGAGTTGGTGGATGCTTTAGTCCAGGTCTGGGAGGAGATCCCTCAGGAGACCATCCGCCACCTCATCAGGAGCATGCCCAGGCATTGTAGGGAGTTTATACAGGCACGTGGAGGCCACACACACTACTGAGCCTCATTTTGACTTGTTTTAAGGACATTACATCAAAGTTGGATCACCCTGTAGTGTGGTTTTCCACTTTAATTTTGAGTGTGACTCCAAATCCAGACCTCCATGGGTTGATAAATTTGATTTCCATTGATCATTTTTGTGTGATTTTGTTGTCAGCACATTCAACTATGTAAAGAAAAAATTATTTAATAAGATCATTTCATTCATTCAGATCTAGGATGTGTTATTTTAGTGTTCCCTTTATTTTTTTGAGCAGTGTATATATATATATATTGCGAGAGAGAATAAAACATATGTGGGATTGGAAGTGATGCAGACAATTACATTGATGGAAGTTACAATCTATCTGCAATATTAAAGCTGATCTACCCCCCCCCCCCAAAAAAACAAAAAAATAGATTTAAAAAAAAAGAATGAACTATAGCCATTGAATTCTACCGTGCAAATATACCGTGCGTAATAGGGAAATAATGCACGCTCTAGAATGCCCTTCAAGACAATCAGAAAGGAGTATTGAACAATGTCATGGTATAAACAATATTAATGTTCTAGACACGTTTCATGGGAATGTTGCAAGAACATTTCTGTGTATCAGTTTTCAAGACATGATGGTCCCAAAGAAACGTTCTCCCCCCCCAAAAAAACATTACACCTTACTGTTGCCAAGCCCATCAAATCACATCCAATTTTATTGGTCACATACTGTACACATATTTAGCAGATGTTATTGCGGGTGTAGTGAAAGGCCCTGATTGGTAATCCACTGATCCATTCACAGCTCTTTTTGTCTGTTGGCAAGGTTAGGCATACACACACACAGTGTTTTAACATACAGTGTTTCCAACTTACATATTTGACACACATGGATGCTGGCCCATGTTGACTCCAATGCTTCCCAAAGCTGTCCCACAGTGTCAAGTTGGCTGGATGTCCGTTGTGTGGTGGACATTTCTTGATACACACAGGAAACTGTTGAGCGTAAAAAACCCAGCGGCGTTGCAGTTCTTGACACAAACCGGTTGCCTGGCACCTACTACCATACCCTGTTCAAAGTCACTTAAATATGTTGTCTTGGCAATTCACTCTCTGAATGGCACACATTCACAATCCATGTCGCAATTGTCAAGGCTTAAAAATATTGTTTTACTCCTCCCCTTCATCTACACTGATTGAAAGGGATTTAACTAGTGACATCAATAAGTGATCATAGCTTTCACCTGGTCAGTCTATGTCATGGAAAGAGGAGGTGTCCTTAATGTTTTGTACACTCAGTGTATACAGTCATTATTATTCAACATGTCCTCACCTGGAATTTGAATTCACAACCTCATGGTTCAAGGCATTCAGATCTTCCTGCTACGCCACCATGTCTGTGTCAGTTATCAGTTAATTGAACTTTTCTCTCATCATTGATTTAATTGACTTATTTCAACATTGACTTTCTGTATTGTATGTAATATGTAATTCTGTATTGTATGTCATTGGCTTTCTGTATAGTTGTCTGATGTTGGTGGGGCATTTTAACCTGTTTTAAGGATACTCCTGAATCACTATGATCAATGAAAGTTTTTCTGGAGTGTACTTTTAACAGAGCTGAGATTTACTTCAAAGTGCATTCACCCTATTGTTTATGCATATTAAGTTATTTCAGATCTACATACAGTGGGGAGAACAAGTATTTGATACACTGCCGATTTTGCAGGTTTTCCTACTTACAAAGCATGTAGAGGTCTGTAATTTTTATCATAGGTACACTTCAACTGTGAGAGATGGAATCTAAAACAAAAATCCAGAAAATCACATTGTATGATTTTTAAGTAATTAATTTGCATTTTATTGCATGACATAAGTATTTGATCATCTACCAACCAGTAAGAATTCCGGCTCTCACAGACCTGTTAGTTTTTCTTTAAGAAGCCCTCCTGTTCTCCAGTCATTACCTGTATTAACTGCACCTGTTTGAACTCGTTAGCTGTATAAAAGACACCTGTCCACACACTCAATCAAACAGACTCCAACCTCTCCACAATGGCCAAGACCAGAGAGCTGTGTAAGGACATCAGGGATAAAATTGTAGACCTGCACAAGGCTGGGATGGGCTACAGGACAATAGGCAAGCAGCTTGGTGAGAAGGCAACAACTGTTGGTGCAATTATTAGAAAATGGAAGAAGTTCAAGATGACGGTCAATCACCCTCGGTCTGGGGCTCCATGCAAGATCTCACCTCGTGGGGCATCAATGATCATGAGGAAGGTGAGGGATCAGCCCAGAACTACACGGCCGGACCTGGTCAATGACCTGAAGAGAGCTGGGACCACAGTCTCAAAGAAAACCATTAGTAACACACTACGCCGTCATGGATTAAAATCCTGCAGCGCACGCAAGGTCCCCCTGCTCAAGCCAGCGCATGTCCAGGCCCGTCTGAAGTTTGCCAATGACCATCTGGATGATCCAGAGGAGGAATGGCAGAAGGTCATGTGGTCTGATGAGACAAAAATAGAGCTTTTTGGTCTAAACTCCACTCGCCGTGTTTGGAGGAAGAAGAAGGATGAGTACAACCCCAAGAACACCATCCCAACCGTGAAGCATGGAGGTGGAAACATCATTCTTTGGGGATGCTTTTCTGCAAAGGGGACAGGACGACTGCACCGTATTGAGGGGAGGATGGATGGGGCCATATATCGCGAGATCTTGGCCAACAACCTCCTTCCCTCAGTAAGAGCATTGAAGATGGGTCGTGGCTGGGTCTTCCAGCATGACAACGACCCAAAACACACAGCCAGGGCAACTAAGGAGTGGCTCCGTAAGAAGCATCTCAAGGTCCTGGAGTGGCCTAGCCAGTCTCCAGACCTGAACCCAATAGAAAATCTTTGGAGGGAGCTGAAAGTCCGTATTGCCCAGCGACAGCCCCGAAACTGAAAGATATGGAGAAGGTCTGTATGGAGGAGTGGGCCAAAATCCCTGCTGCAGTGTGTGCAAACCTGGTCAAGACCTACAGGAAACGTATGATCTCTGTAATTGCAAACAAAGGTTTCTATATCAAATATTAATTTCTGCTTTTCTGATGTATCAAATACTTATGTCATGCAATAAAATGCAAATTAATTACTTAAAAATCATACAATGTGATTTTCTGGATTTTTGTTTTAGATTCCGTCTCTCACAGTTGAAGTGTACCTATGATAAAAATTACAGATCTCTACATGCTTTGTAAGTAGGAAAACCTGCAAAATCTGCAGTGTATCAAATACTTGTTCTCCCCACTGTAAGTGCCTAGGGAGGAGGGGTTAGGGTTTATTCTGGACAGGGCCTAACTATACTGGCCAAATAAGTACATTCTCTAGAGATATCCCTTATTGGGACAGTGGTTAGGGTGTTCGTCATTGGTGCTGGTGGCTTGGGTTTGAGACCTACTCACACATCCTTAGCAATATAGTGTATGTTAATGTCATTATTTGGCGAAACAGTTACAACATACCTAACTGATCTAATTAAAATGAGTTTTAGCATCAGAAACTCCAGGTCGGGTGAACAGGAGCTCGAGATGTTTTCAATTTTGGTACACCAGTTGTTGATGAGGAATTATACCCCTCTTGTCACGATCGCCAATGAAGTAGGACCAAAGCGCAGCGTTGGGAGTGAACATGATGACTTTAATGTTGAATACACGACCAAACAAAACACGATCCGTAAAGTCCTCAGTACATCGACTGAACATAGAACAATAACCCACAACCACAAGGTGAAAACACACAGTTTAAATATGGCTCCCAATCAGAGATAACGAGCCGACAGCTGACACTCGTTACCTCCGATTGGGAGTCACCTGACCAAACACGGAAAACAAAACCAATACCAAACACAACAAATGAACACACCCTATACCCAACACAACCAAATGAATACACCCTGGCTCAAACAACACAGTCCCGGAGCCAGAGCGTGACACCTCTCCCTTACTCTTATCAGAAGCCGTCGTTCGATCCATACGGAAAATGGTGGTGATTTTATAATGTGATTTTATAATATTTGTATTATAAAGTATGTTGCCCATTAGCAACAACTGATTACTAGATTAATATGAATCAGAAGTTATAAATAAAATAAAAATTGTTATAATTAAATTGGTCCATAGAATTAGATTTGAGTACTATTGTAACTCCATGTTATTTCCTTAATGTGGGTACATTATTTAGCATGTTCATCATGTTAACAATCATGTCCAACTGTGTGTTTATGACGATGAGTGACCCTCCGGCATGGAGTAAAACTGTTGAGTAAGTTTCAAACCTACATAGGAGATTATTCATGTTTTGTGAAAACTATATTGGCTGCATCAGCATCCCATGTATTTTCAAGTCAATACTTACATTTTGGGGTGGGGGCATTTAAAACAAGTTTAAATGTTCATATAAATATCTGTATTTAAAAATATATATATTTAAAAGATTGGTCATAACATTATTGAGAGTAATTTTGACCACTACATAGTTTCACCAAAAGCTATTTTATAAAGCTTCTCTCTCTTCCCCTCTTTTTGTATTGCAGATATGTTTTCATTGGTATATATACCTTTGAGGCAACAATTAAAGTGTTGTCCAGAGGCTTCTGTGTTGGAGATTTCACATTCCTTCGAGATCCATGGAACTGGCTGGATTTCATGGTGATCAGCATGGCGTGAGTAATGGGAGAGTGATGCCGTCAGTCATCAGCTCAGTACCATTAGACACAGGGGCAGGTGTTAGAGAGTGTGTGTATTTGTGTGTTTCTTTGTGTGTCTGTGTGCATGAGTGAAGGAGTAAGGTCAAAGGTCAGGAAGGTCAAAGGACATCTCCAAAGGCTTGTTGAGTTTGACCATGGCCTTGTCTGCTTCCTTACCTCTCCTCCCCCCAGGTCCCAGCACCCCCTGTACACACACACTCTTTCCCAACACCCCCTGTACACACACATCATGACGTATGCCAGTTCATAACTAAATCTCCATATGGTGTCTTGCTGGTCTAGTCACACTCCTGCCTTCAGCAGTCGGTTTACAGATAACACTGCCATTTGGCTCTAGAAAAAAAATATTTGATAATGTAGAAGTGGACAGTTGCCCTGAGCTAAATATATCTTCCTCTAAACCATATATTTTACCATAGCAACCCTCTGATCCTCTATGTTAAAATAACAACTGAGCCAATGGTATTGAATTAAATGTACATTAAAAGTCCATGAAACTGAAAAGATTTTTGTTCAACTGACACATCAACTGTCAACTCCTCTATTCTAATGTGTGGTTGTGTTGTTATGTTTTGTGCTCGGCAGGTACCTCACAGAGTTTGTTGACCTGGGCAACGTGTCTGCCCTCAGGACGTTCCGTGTGCTCCGAGCCCTTAAAACAATCCCTGTAATTCCTGGTACGTGTCACATAAGAAGGTCCAAGTCCTACTGGGGTTTGTTTGTTAACTGCACCACCTGCTTTTGAACACCTGCTTTGGGTCCTGTGTAGCTCAGTTGGTAAGTGTGTGGTGCTAGCAACCCTAGGGTTGTTTTGGGTTGTATTCCCGCACTGTCCTGTAAGTCACCTTGGAGAAAAGCATCAGCTAAATGGCATCTGTTATTATATTATAAACACAAAGCCTTGCAAGCTACACAATAAAACATGGGTTATTAATTACACCATACAGAGAACAAGGATCAAATAGCAGAATCAAATATTCGCAATGTTATGTTATTCATTCTTCAACAAATAGTTTTCAGGTCACAGATTATTTGAATGTATTTTTGTGTGTTATTTTCAGGTCTGAAAACCATTGTGGGCGCTCTGATACAGTCAGTGAAGAAGCTGGCTGATGTGATGATCATAACAGTGTTCTGCCTGGCTGTGTTCGCTCTGGTCGGCCTGCAACTGTTCATGGGAATCCTGAAGCAGAAGTGTGTTTACTGGCCCCCTGCGGAATGGCGTTTAAACTCCACCAACATCACTATGGCCTTCAACAACATTACTGGTTTCAACAACATTATGGGCTACAATGGCACAAACAGCGGCAACAGTACGTGGGACTTCAAGGCATACATCGACGATAAAGGTATTGACAGGCTTTTGATGGCGCATTGATTTGTGGAAGGGGAGTTGATAATGGCTTAATTAACCATTATATTATATTAATTGGGATATTATCATGGCACTTACTGTAGGATAGTTCAAAATAAGTATATAAATGTGTATAAGTAAATGTGTATAAGTATATACAGTGGGGAAAAAAGGATTTAGTCAGCCACCAATTGTGCAAGTTCTCCCACTTAAAAAGATGAGAGAGGCCTGTAATTTTCATCATAGGTACACGTCAACTATGACAGACAAAATGAGAAAAAAAATCCAGAAAATCACATTGTAGGATTTTTAATGAATTTATTTGCAAATTATGGTGTTTATCGTCTGCTAAATGACTAAAATGTAAAAAATGTAAATGTTAATGCATCAGTGGCAACAGCACGTGGGACTTCAATGCATACATCAATGATTAAGGTTGTGACAGGCTTTTGATGGCACATTGAATTGGGGAATTGATAATGACTTACTGAACCGTTAACTATATATTAGTTTGGATTTTGTGACAGTACTATATGATATTACTGTATAGAATAACTATATAAATATGTAAAAGAAGTACATATATTTATATAAGTATATAAACTTGATGCGCTCTCTAATCGAGGTCCCTTTTCTGTTTTCCTCCAGAGAACCATTACTTCCTTCCTGGAATGTTAGACCCTCTTCTTTGTGGAAACGCTTCTGATGCTGGGTAGGTTTTTTTGGCTATCAGAGTTGAGCATATGGGGAGCTTTATAATCCTCCCTTGTCTCTGTTGATCACGCAATATATGGTGAAAAGAATTTCAACGTAGTTAAAATATAACATATCTTTGAATGCTGAAGATTATAAGTCCCATTCAATTTGTTGTGACACTTCATTGGCATTTTGATAGAAATTGCCCTGAAGGATACACGTGTATGAAGGCCGGAGGGAATCCCAACTATGGCTACACAAGCTACGACAGTTTTGGATGGGCCTACCTTGCCCTATTTCGGCTCATGACACAGGACTTCTGGGAAGATCTATTCCAGCTGGTGCGTATACGTCATGCGCTTCCATGACAACGACATAGAGATGTACGATTTTTTTGTTGTTGCTCCTGACGTTTTCTGAAATCTATATCTGTAACGTCAGTCGGTAGACCAGATTTGAATTTGAGAGATTGCAATCTTATGTGTCATCAGGCATATTGATACAGAAAGAGTGCTCTCTCGGTTTACTGGTGAGTTAACTGGCCGTTTCTCCCTTACCCATAGACTCTTCGCTCAGCAGGGAAAACCAACATGATTTTCTTTGTGGTGGTGATCTTCCTGGGCTCGTTCTACCTGATCAACCTGATCCTGGCTGTGGTGGCCATGGCATATGCTGAGCAGAACGAGGCCACCATGGCCGAGGCCAAGGAGAAGGAGGAGGAGTATGCCATGATCCTGGAACGCCTGAAGGAAAGGAAAAAAGCAGAGGTCAAAAAGGTGTGATCAACTTACTATGTATGTAAAGCACTATGAGCATCTGTGAAAAAAATGACCTATATATATAAATATATATATATATATATATATATATATTTTTTTTTTTTAGGGGGTAGATCAGCTTTAATATTGCAGATAGATTGTAACTTCCATGAATGTAATTGTCTGCATCACTTCCAATCCCCCGTATATGTTTTTCTAGCTAATATACAGTTGAAGTCTGAAGTTTACATACACCTTGACCAAATACATTTAAACTCAAATGTCAGAATAATAGTAGAGAGAATGATTGATTTATTTCTGCTTTTATTTATTTCATCACATTCCCAGTGGGTCAGAAGTTTACATACACTCAATTAGTATTTGGTAGCATTGCCTTTAAATTGTTTAACTTGGGTCAAACGTTTCGGGTAGCTTTCCACAAGCTTCCCACAATAAGTTGGGTGAATTTTAGCCCATTCCTCCTGACAGAGCTGGTGTAACTGAGTCAGGTTTGTAGGCCTCCGTGCTCACACACGCTTTTTCAGTTCTGCCCACAAATGTTCTATAGGATTGAGGTCAGGGCTTTGTGATGGCCACTCCAATACCTTGACTTTGTTGTCCTTAAGCCATTTTGCCACAACTTTGGAAATAGGCTTGGGGTCATTGTCCATTTGGAAGACCCATTTGCCACCAAGCTTTAACTTCCTGACTGATGTCTTGAGATGTTGCTTCAATATATCCACATCATTTTCCTTCCTCATGATGCCCTCTATTTTGTGAAATGCACCAGTCCCTCCTGCAGCAAAGCACCCCCACAGAATGATGCTGCCACCCCTGTGCTTCACAGTTGGGATGGTGTTCTTCGGCTTACAAGCACCCCCTTTTTCCTCCAAACATAACGATGGTCATTATGGCCAAACAGTTCTATTTTTGTTTCATCAGACCAGAGGACATTTCTCCAAAATGTACGATCTTTGTCCCCATGTGCAGTTGCAAACCGTAGTCTATCTTTTTTATGGCAGTTTTGGAGAAGTGGCTTCTTCCTTGCTGAGCAGCCTTTCAAGTTATGTCGATATAGGACTCGTTTTACTGTGGATATAGATACTTTTGTACCTGTTCCCTCCAGCATCTTCACAAGGTCCTTTGCTGTTGTTCTGGGATTGATTTGCACTTTTCTTATCAAAGTACGTTAATCTCTAGGAGATCGAACACGTCTCCTTCCTGAGCGGTATGACGGCTTCGTGGTCCCATGGTGTTTATACTTGCGTACTATTGTTTGTACAGATGAACGTGGTACCTTCAGGCGTTTTGGAAATTGCTCCCAAGGATGAACCAGACTAGTGGTCTACAATTTTTTTTCGGAGGTCTTGGCTGATTTCTTTTGATTTTCCCATGATGTCAAGCAAAGAGGCACTGAGTTTGAAGGTAGGCCTTGAAATACATCCACAGGTACACCTCCAATTGACTCAAATGATGTCAATTAGAATTTCAGAAGCTTCTAAAGCCATGACATCATTTTCTGGAATTTTCCAAGCTGTTTAAAGGCACAGTCAACTTAGTGTATTTAAACTTCTGACCCACTGAAATTGTGATACAGTGAATTATAAGTGAAATAATCTGTCTGTAAACAATTGTTGGAAAAATGACTTATGTCATGCACAAAGTAGATGTCCTAACCGACTTGCCAAAACTATAGTTTGTTAACAAGAAATTTGTGGAGTGGTTGGAAATGAGTTTTAATGACTCCAACCTAAGTGTACGTAAACTTCCGACTTCAACTGTATGTGTACAGTGGGGGGAAAAAGTATTTAGTCAGCCACCAATTGTGCAAGTTCTCCCACTTAAAAAGATGAGAGAGGCCTGTAATTTTCATCATAGGTACACGTCAACTATGACAGACAAATTAAGGAAAAAAATTCCAAAAAATCACATTGTAGGATTTTTTATGAATTTATTAGCAAATTATGGTGGAAAATAAGTATTTGGTCACCTACAAACAAGCAAGATTTCTGGCTCTCACAGACCTGTAACTTCTTCTTTAAGAGGCTCTCTGTCCTCCACTCGTTACCTGTATTAATGGCACCTGTTTGAACTTGTTATCAGTATAAAAGACACCTGTCCACAACCTCAAACAGTCACACTCCAAACTCCACTATGGCCAAGACCAAAGAGCTGTCAAAGGACACCAGAAACAAAATTGTAGACCTGCACCAGGCTGGGAAGACTGAATCTGCAATAGGTAAGCAGCTTGGTTTGAAGAAATCAACTGTGGGAGCAATTATTAGGAAATGGAAGACATACAAGACCACTAATAATCTCCCTCGATCTGGGGCTCCACGCAAGATCTCACCCCGTGGGGTCAAAATGATCACAAGAACGGTGAGAAAAAATCCCAGAACCACACGGGGGGACCTAGTGAATGACCTGCAGAGAGCTGGGACCAAAGTAACAAAGCCTACCATCAGTAACACACTACGCCACCAGGGACTCAAATCCTGCAGTGCCAGACGTGTCCCCCTGCTTATGCTAGTACATGTCCAGAACCCGTCTGAAGTTTGCTAGAGTGCATTTGGATGATCCAGAAGAGGATTGGGAGAATGTCATATGGTCAGATGAAACCAAAATATAACTGTTTGGTCAAAACTCAACCCGTCATGTTTGGAGGACAAAGAATGCTGAGTTGCATCCAAAGTACACCATACCTACTGTGAAGCATGGGGGTGGAAACATCATGCTTTGGGGCTGTTTTTCTGCAAAGGGACCAGGAGGACTGATCCGTGTAAAGGAAAGAATGAATGGGGCCATGTATCGTGAGATTTTGAGTGAAAACCTCCTTCCATCAGCAAGGGAATTGAAGATGAAACGTGGCTGGGTCTTTCAGCATGACAATGATCCCAAACACACCGCCCGGGCAACGAAGGAGTGGCTTCATGAGAAGCATTTCAAGGTCCTGGAGTGGCCTAGCCAGTCTCCAGATCTCAACCCCATAGAAAATCTTTGGAGGGAGTTGAAAGTCCGTGTTGCCCAGCGACAGCCCCAAAACATCACTGCTCTAGTGGAGATCTGCATGGAGGAATGGGCCAAAATACCAGTAACAGTGTGTGAAAATCTTGTGAAGACTTACAGAAAACGTTTGACCTGTGTCATTGCCAACAAAGGGTATATAACAAAGTATTGAGAAACTTTTGTTATTGACCAAATACTTATTTTCCACCATAATTTGCAAATAAATTCATAAAAAATCCTACAATGTGATTTTCTGGATTTTTTTTTTCTAATTTTGTCTGTCATAGTTGACGTGTACCTATGATGAAAATTACAGGCCTCTCTCATCTTTTTAAGTGGGAGAACTTGCACAATTGGTGGCTGACTAAATACTTTTTTTCCCCACTGTATATATACAGTGAGGGAAAAAAGTATTTGATCCCCTGCTGATTTTGTACGTTTGCCCACTGACAAAGAAATGATCAGTCTATAATTTTAATGGTAGGTTTATTTGAACAGTGAGAGACAGAATAACAACAAAAAAATCCAGAAAGTCGCATGTCAAAAATGTTATAAATTTATTTGCATTTTAATGAGGGAAATAAGTATTTGACCCCCTCTCAATCAGAAAGATTTCTGGCTCCCAGGTGTCTTTTATACAGGTAACGAGCTGAGATTAGGAGCACACTCTTAAAAAGGGAGTGCTACTAATCTCAGCTTGTTACCTGTATAAAAGACAACTGTCCACAGAAGCAATCAATCAATCAGATTCCAAACTCTCCACCATGGCCAAGACCAAAGAGCTCTCCAAGGATGTCAGGGACAAGATTGTAGACCTACACAAGGCTGGAATGGGCTACAAGACCATCGCCAAGCAGCTTGGTGAGAAGGTGACAACAGTTGGTGCGATTATTCGCAAATGGAAGAAACACAAAATAACGGTCAATCTCCCTCGACCTGGGGCTCCATGCAAGATCTCACCTCGTGGAGTTGCAATGATCATGAGAACGGTGAGGAATCAGCCCAGAACTGCACGGGAGGATCTTGTCAATGATCTCAAGGCAGCTGGGACCATAGTCACCAAGAAAACAATTGGTAACACACTACGCCGTGAAGGACTGAAATCCTGCAGCTCCCACAAGGTCCCCCTGCTCAAGAAAGCACATATACAGGCCCGTCTGAAGTTTGCCAATGAACATCTGAATGATTCAGAAGAGAACTGGGTGAAAGTGTTGTGGTCAGATGAGACCAAAATCGAGCTCTTTGGCATCAACTCAACTCGCCGTGTTTGGAGGAGGAGGAATGCTGCCTATGACCCCAAGAACCTATCCCCACCGTCAAACATGGAGGTGGAAACGTTATGCTAAGGGGGTGTTTTTCTGCTAAGGGGACAGGACAACTTCACCGCATCAAAGGGACGATGGACGGGGCCATGTACTGTCAAATCTTGGGTGAGAACCTCCTTCCCTCAGCCAGGACATTGAAAACGGGTCGTGGATGGGTATTCCAGCATGACAATAACCCAAAACACACGGCCAAGGCAACAAAGGAGTGGCTCAAGAAGAAGCACATTAAGGTCCTGGAGTGGCCTAGCCAGTCTCCAGACCTTAATCCCATAGAAAATCTGTGGAGGGAGCTGAAGGTTTGAGTTGCCAAACGTCAGCCTTGAAACCTTAATGACTTGGAGAAGATCTGCAAAGAGGAGTGGGACAAAATCCCTCCTGAGATGTGTGCAAACCTGGTGGCCAACTACAAGAAACGTCTGACCTCTGTGATTGCCACCAAGGGTTTTGCCACCAAGTACTAAGTCATGTTTTGCAGAGGGGTCAAATACTTATTTCCCTCATTAAAATGCAAATCAATTTATAACATTTTTGACATGCGTTTTTCTGGATTTTTTTGTTGTTATTCTGTCTCTCACTGTTCAAATAAACCTACCATAAAAATTATAGACTGATCATGTCTTTGTCAGTGGGCAAACGTACCAAATCAGCGACTTACAAATTGGTGCATTCACCTTATGATAAGTCTCACTCTTTGATCTGATGATAGTTGATAGAGTAAGATTTAGTTGGTCGATTCAACTCTAGATTCAAATGTCTGCTGAACTGGATAAATACAAAAAATACCTAGTAATCATACTAAGTGTTAATTTGCAGATTACTACTCATGTTGGTGGTTCTCGTCCTTAGTTTGTTTGATTCTTGTCAATGATTGACTGATTATTTGACTGACATGACAGGCATCATGAACACCATGAACACTCTGAAAAAGCTGGCAGTCAGACGTCACTGTCTAGTAGAACATCTAAGAAAGAGAAAGGTGAAAAGTCAGATCAAGACGTTGCTGATGATGAGGAGTTTACGTCCTCCAGCCTTGATAAGGACGGCGAGGCTATAAAGGACTCCAATGGAGGCCTCATGATCAGAGCCAACGCCGACAAGGTCCTGGAAGACCAGGAGGTGAGCCGCATGGCTCAGATGGGTTGCTGTGCGCTTGATGTTATGACCTTTTCACACTACTGTGCCGACCTGAACCAAACTGTGCTGGCTCGGATATTGTTTATTCACCTTTCCCTTTTCAGGACGGTTTCAACAACTATGATGAATGCATAACCAATTAATGTGTAACCAACTTAGTGCAGCTTGGTTTGGTTAGGCTCAGTTTGGCTCTGAAAAAGTGGGTTTCTGGCCTCCTGAGTGGCGCAGCGGTCTAAGGCACTGCATTGCAGTGCTAGAGGCGTCACTACAGACCCGGGTTCGATCCAGGGCTGTATCATAGGGCGGCGCACAATTGGCCCAGCGTCGTCCGGGTTAGGGGAGGGTTTGACCGGGAGGGCTTTACTTGGCTCATCGCGCTCTAGGGACTCCTTGTGGCAGGTCGGGCGCCTGCAGGCTGACCTCAGTTGTCAGGTGAACGGTGTTTCCTCCGACACATTGGTGCAGCTGGCTACCGGGTTAAGCGGGCGGGTGTTAAAAGCGCGGTTTGGCGGTTCATGTTTCGGAGGACGCATGACTCGACCTTCGCCTCCCGAGCCCTTTGGGGAGTTGCAGTGATGAGACAAGATTGAAATTGGGGAGAAAAAAGGGGGTAAAAATAAATAAGTGGGTTGCTATGCGCGTGATGGTTAAGTGTGTCTTGTTTCTCTTTGTTCTACAGTCTGCTGTTGTGTTGAAGAGGGCCAGTGGACCCAAGGGGAGTAAGGACCCGCTGGAAGTATCAGGCCTGCAGAAGAAGACACCCAGTTCACCCAGTGTCTACAGCCAAGATGACATGGATGGTAACTGTCAGAAATCGCAATGGATCTGTGTATGAGAAATTAAATGTCCTAAGGAATGTGTGGGACTGGAATGTGATGTATAGGACTGTTATTGCGATATCCACCCATACCTGTGTTCTAATTGGCTACTGTATTATGAGTTATGCAGAGTTTCATCATCACAGTTTGCCATCTTATGCACTGATGGCACATTGTGTCAGCTTCTTCAGCATAAGACCTACAACCTATGGCCTTACACATGTTTGAACTTTAGGTGCTCAAGACAAATAATACTTTTCAAAACCTACATAGACTTTAATAATACTTTTGAACTTTAGGTGCTGCAAATAATACATAAAGGTTGAAAACAAATCATGAACCCATAAAAAATACTTATCATGCAACGTTGTGTACAAAAAAACTACAACTCACAAAATGTACTCTGATGTTAAGCTTGACAAACAAAACCTTCCTCCTTTACCCTCATTCCAACAGATCTGGAGGAGGAACTGAGACCTTGTCCGCCCTTCTGGTACAAGTGTTCAGACGTCTTCCTGAAATGGAACTGCTGTGTGCCCTGGGTGACTTTCAAGAAGTGGATGTACTTCATAGTGAATGACCCGTTCGTGGACTTGGGCATCACCATCTGCGTTGTACTCAACACCATATTCATGGCCATGGAGCACTACCCCATGACAGCAGAATTTGAAGATGTGCTGAGTGTGGGGAACTTGGTGAGTTACCTTCCTTAATGATGCTCTTCCACCTTACCTCTTCTGTAGCCATGATAGTGATACCATAGAAATCTCTCTCTCAAAACGATCATGTTCAAAATTCAGGTTTACAGTGCAGGCAGAAACCATGAGAATCTGCATATCTACACTTTGCACAGTTTTCAATGTAATTCACTCTCTCATCTCTTGTACAGGTATTCACAGGAATCTTCACAGCAGAGATGGTGCTGAAGCTCATCGCCATGGATCCGTACTACTACTTCCAGGTCGGTCGGAACATCTTCGACAGCATCATTGTGACCATAAGCCTGGTGGAGCTGTGGCTGGCCGACATCGAGGGTCTGTCCGTGCTCCGCTCCTTCCGTCTGGTGAGGGTCCCTCCACCCACAGTTTAGAACACACTCTCTCAGTGTAACTGTGCAGTATGTGTCCATATTGTTCATGAGTTTCTAGTGGAGTTTCTAGTGGATAGACTATATGGTTCAATAGAAAATAGTCTAATTAATGAAAAAAGCATCTAATTAACAATGGCATTATTTTTAATCAACTCTTCCAACTATTGACTTTTTTTCACAACTGCCATCAGTTTGACGCTAAAACATTTACCATAAAGACATAGTAAAACACTATTTATTGACATAGTCAAATAAATAGGTGTGAAAATCTTTTTTAAACATGTCATGTTGAAACCCTCATATTAAATACCAATTGTATTCACTAAGTTGATGGTTTATATTTAGGATTGTCATGTGTCAAATGTGCAGCAGTAGGACGGAGTCAGGCGCAGGACACAGAACTGAGTACACGATATACTTTACTCTGAAAAACACGCAGGGAAAACACACCAGCTCACAAAAGTGTATGACACAACACAACAAACAAACACGAACAAAACCATGTGGGAACCAGAGGGTTAAATAGGGAAATAATCATAATGCAATGGGAGCCAGGTGTGTACAAACAAGACTAAACAAATGGAAAACAGAAACGTAGATTGGTGGCAGCTAAAAAGCCGGTGACGATGAACGCCAATAGCCGCCCGCACAAGGAGAGGCACCAACTTCGGCGGAAGTCGTGACATTACCCCCCCCTTGACGTGCGGCTCCAGCAGGACGACCCGGAGGACGAGGCGCAGGACGATCCGGGTGTAGACAGTGAAATTCCTGCAGTAAGGAAGGGTCCAGGATGTCCTCCACCGGCACCCAGCATCTCTCCTCCGGACCGTTCCCCTCCCACTCCACGAGGTACTGAAGGCCCCTCGCCCGACGTCTTGAGTCCATGATGGCTCGTACAGTATACGCCGGGGGCCCCTCGATGTCCAGAGGGGGCCGAGGAACCTCCCGCACCTCAGACTGCTGGAGCAGACCTGCTACCACCGGCCTGAGGAGAGACACATGGAACGAGGGGTTAATACGGTAATCAGGGGGGAGCTGCAACCTATAACATACCTCGTTCAGTCTCCTCAGGACTTTAAATGGCCCCACAAACCGCCGACCCAGCTTCCGGCAGGGCAGGCGAAGGGGCAGGTTTTCTTGTCAAGAGCCAGACCCGGTCCCCCGGTGCATACACCGGAGCCTCACTGCGGTGGCGGTCGGCGCTTGCCTTCTGTCACCCGATGGCCTGCTGCAGGCATACATGGGCAGCGTTCCAGGTCTCCTCCGAGCGCCGAAACCATTCATCCACCGCAGGTGCCTCGATCTGGCTCTGATGCCACGGTGCCAGGACCGGCTGATAACCTAATACACACTGGAAAGGAGTAAGGTTAGTGGAGGAGTGGCGGAGGGAGTTTTGGGCTATCTCTCAGGTACAGCCAATCAGAATGAGTTTTTACCCACAAAAGGGCTTTATTACAGATAGAAATACTCCTCCGTTTCATCAACTGTCCGGGTGGCTGGTCTCAGACGATCTCGCAGGTGAAGAAGCCGGATGTGGATGTCCTGGGCTGGCGTGGTTACACGTGGTCTGCGGTTGTGAGGCTGATTGGACGTACTGCCAAATTCTCTAAAACGACGCCGGAGGCGGTTTACGGTAGAGAGATGAACATTAAATTCCCTGGCAACAGCTCTGGTGGCCATTACTACAGTCAGCATACCAGTTGAACGCTCCGTCAAAACTTGAGACATCTGTGGCGTTGTGTTGTGTGACAAAACTACACATTTTAGAGTGGCCTTTTATTGTCCCCAGCACAAGGTGTACTTGTTTAATGATCATGCTGTTTAATCAGCTTCTTGATATGCCACACCTGTCAGGTGGATGGATTATCTTGGCAAAGGAGTAATGCTCTCTAACAGGGATATGAACAAGTTTGTGCACAAAATCTGAGAGAAATAAGCTTTTTGTGCGTATGGAACATTTCTGGGATCTTTTATTTCATCTCATGAAACATGGGACCAGCACTTTACATGTTGTGTTTACATGTGATAAAGCCACATAGAGGGCCATAGATAATTCCAGACACCTGTGATAATCTGAAGTACCCTAAAAAGATCACTAGATGTCATGTGATAAAAAAATAAAATAAATTAAGTTACTAAAAACCCTCCCTTAGCAACCCTATGCAAGATTAACATCACATTAGCCACAAGTAAAGTGGTACTAACTCTACAAACCTAATTATTGGCCAGTTTCCTGGACACAGCTCAATGGAAAATCAAGTTATACTTTTTTTTGTATCAGTTTCTGGGAAACCAGCTCTATGTAACCTAATAATGTCTCTAATTGTTTTGGGGGCAGATGCGTGTTTTCAAACTGACCAAATCCTGGCCCACACTCAACATGCTAATCAAGATCATCGGTAATTCAATGGGAGCCCTTGGTAACCTCACCCTGGTCCTGGCCATCATCGTCTTCATCTTCTCCGTGGTGGGCATGCAGCTCTTCGGCAAGAGCTACAAAGAGTATGTCTGCAAGATCTCCTCAAACTGCGAGCTGCCCCGCTGGCACATGCATGACTTCTTCCACGCTTTTCTCATCATCTTCCGGGTGCTGTGCGGAGAGTGGATCGAGACCATGTGGGAATGCATGGAGGTGGCCGGACAGGGCATGTGTCTCGTTGTCTTCATTGTGGTCATGGTCATCGGTAAACTAGTGGTGAGTGATGCATTGAACCATGGGATGTGGGCACTGGAGGGTTGGCATTGAAGTATTTTGGTGTTCAGTTAGTTAATGGATTACTCAAAAGGTGTAATGCACATAACATGAAAGATCAGGGAGAGTGTTTGGTGGAGTGTTCCATGCATACAGTGCACATACCACAGATGCAGCTCTTATGTTGCTGTTAGATAATGAGTTGATTATGCCAGCTCCATACTTTTGATGGATACCAGGCGGTCCTTCACTGTAAACGAAACTGATTGTGTTTCCTCTTTGGTTAGTCATAGGACGAAGAGAGGAAATAGCTATGTCAGTTGAGGTAGCAAAAGCCTGACAACAAACTATGTGCCAAAGACAAACAGGGCTTTCTGTCTGAACTCCCGGGAGAATATCATAGACTAACAGTGGCATCACTCAATGAAGGGGCTATTATTAGCTCCATGATATGGGCCAGCAGTTCTGACCTTGGGTTGTTTGGGGATCCAATGGGGCAAGTGGCATAGAGAAAAATAGCTGAGGGCTTACAGGAATCATGGAGGGGGCAGCCTTAAGTCTACTGATGATGTAACAGGTGTTTGAGGTCACACAAGTCCAATACCACTGTTAGATGCTATTGAGAGGTAAAGTTACACGGTTACTGTTTAACTGACCTCCGGAAAACATTTTAGAAAACGTTTGACAATATTAACCAGAAAAAATTTACAAATAATAATTTCACAACCCTGATTCAAGAACATAGGGGACAATAATAACAAATACTATGTGCTAAAATCCAGTTGTTCTAACTATCCATCCAGGTGTTGAACCTCTTCTTGGCCTTGCTGCTGAGTTCGTTCAGCGGTGACAACCTGGCGGCTCCAGAGGAGGACAGGGAGATGAACAACCTGCAGATCGCCATCAGCAGGATCACCAGGGGCATCGACTGGGCCAAGGCATACATAATCAAACAGTTCTGCATTATCACAGGGAAGCAGCCTAAGGAGGATGGAGACGGGGCTGATGGTAATGGGGGTAGTAATGGGGATGTGGATGGCCTCCCGAAGGACAGCTTGGCTTTGAAAAATATAAACTCCAGTGACAACCCAAAGGCTGATTTGGAGCTGAAAATGCTGGACGTTTGGGTGGACGATGTTAACCCAAGTGGATTTCTTACAAATGCGGATTTGACCCTGGATGTACCTATTGCCAAAATGGAGTCTGATGATGAGGATGACAGCTCCAAAGAGGAAGAAGGAGAAGGCGCAAATGGGGATGCTGAAAAGGATACTGAGGTAAGACCTTTGCATTATTGATGAGTAAAACATGACTGGGCACACACTGGTTGAATCGACATTGTTTCCATGTCCGTTCAATTAAATTACGTTGAACCAACGTGGAATAGATGTTGAATTGACGTATGTGCCCAGTGGGTTATATTTTGAGCATTCATTACAAGAGAAATAACCGATATACAAGCACATGCACATCATATATGGTTATCAATTGCCAATACTATTAGTACTAGTATTATTCTATTTTTTTTATGAGGTCTTTGGTTTCATAGTAAATACTGTAGTAATGTCCGCAGAAACACTACAGTCCGCAAAAACTATAAAAAAAAAAAACTATTGTAAATACTACAGTATTTCATTTGCAATTACCCTGCCCATCCCCCTCCACCATATCCCAATTTGTGCCAAGTGAGAAACCTACATTCCAAGTATAGATCATATATTGTGTTCCCTATAAGTTATAGAAAAGAGCAGAAGCTCTGAACTATCCGTTCAGACCCCAGTCCTACCTACCTACCTACCTACAGGTTATGGAAAATTTGCTCTTTTAGTATTTCTCCAGTAGGTTTCCTCAAGGAGAACGCCTTCACTTCTATGTCATACAAAAACAATACAGTAAATACTACAGTATACTACAGTCAGCAAAAACACTACAGTAAATAATACAGTATATTACAATCCGCAAAAACACTACATTAACTACTATACTAAATACTACAGTTTTCTCTAACTACATTAATTATACTATGGTTAACTGTAAATACTACAGTATACTACAGTAAATACTACAGTATTCACTGTATTGTTTTTGCAGACTTTAGTCCACAAAAACTCTACACTCAAATACTACAGTAAAGTCTGCAAAAACACTACAGTGAATAGTATAGTATTTATAGTATAGTATTTGTTCATGTGGGTAGGGAACAGCACCATCAGCCCCAGATGGAAGCTCATAAAGATCACATACAGCCACTGCTACAGAGAGAACATATATCTATCTTTGAGCGTCTAGTTGCAAAGAGAGGAGAGACCATGTGACTGAATGACGGAGCGTGGGAAAGAATACCAGCGCAGCATGAATAGCAAACCTGACACACACAGCTACCTGCATACTCACACACACTCCTAAAGGAAACACTTCACACCTACTCCTACTCCTACTGTGTCGGGGTACCCATCAAAATCTATGAAAGCTAAATATATATATATATATATATATATATATATATATATATATATATATATATATATATATATATATATATATATATATATATATACAGTGGGGGAAAAAAGTATTTAGTCAGCCACCAATTGTGCAAGTTCTCCCACTTAAAAAGATGAGAGAGGCCTGTCATTTTCATCATAGGTACACGTCAACTATGACAGACAAATTGAGGAAAAATAAATCAAGAAAATCACATTGTAGGATTTTTTATGAATTTATTTGCAAATTATGGTGGAAAATAAGTATTTGGTCACCTACAAACAAGCAAAATTTCTGTCTCTCACAGACCTGTAACTTCTTCTTTAAGAGGCTCCTCTGTCCTCCACTCATTACCTGTATTAATGGCACCTGTTTGAACTTGTTATCAGTATAAAAGACACCTGTCCACAACCTCAAACAGTCACACTCCAAACTCCACTATGGCCAAGACCAAAGAGCTGTCAAAGGACACCAGAAACAAAATTGTAGACCTGCACCAGGCTGGGAAGACTGAATCTGCAATAGGTAAGCAGCTTGGTTTGAAGAAATCAACTGTGGGAGCAATTATTAGGAAATGGAAGACATACAAGACCACTGATAATCTCCCTTGATCTGGGGCTCCACGCAAGATCTCACCCCGTGGGGTCAAAATGATCACAAGAACGGTGAGCAAAAATCCCAGAACCACACGGGGGGACCTAGTGAATGACCTGCAGAGAGCTGGGACCAAAGTTACAAAGCCTACCATCAGTAACACACTACGCCGCCAGGGACTCAAATCCTGCAGTGCAAGACGTGTCCCCCTGCTTAAGCCAGTACATGTCCAGGCCCGTCTGAAGTTTGCTAGAGTGCATTTGGATGATCCAGAAGAGGATTGGGAGAATGTCATATGGTCAGATGAAACCAAAATAGAACTTTTTGGTAAAAACTCAACTCGTCGTGTTTGGAGGACAAAGAATGCTGAGTTGCATCCAAAGAACACCATACATACTGTGAAGCATGGGGGTGGAAACATCATGCTTTGGGGCTGTTTTTCTGCAAAGGGACCAGGACAACTGATCTGTGTAAAGGAAAGAATGAATGGGGCCATGTATCGTGAGATTTTGAGTGAAAACCTCCTTCCATCAGCAAGGGCATTGAAGATGAAACGTGGCTGGGTCTTTCAGCATGACAATGATCCCAAACACACCACCCGGGCAACGAAGGAGTGGCTTCGTAAGAAGCATTTCAAGGTCCTGGAGTGGCCTAGCCAGTCTCCAGATCTCAACCCCATAGAAAATCTTTGGAGGGAGTTGAAAGTCCGTGTTGCCCAGCGACAGCCCTAAAACATCACTGCTCTAGAGGAGATCTGCATGGAGGAATGGGCCAAAATACCAGCAACAGTGTGTGAAAACCTTGTGAAGACTTACAGAAAACGTTTGACCTGTGTCATTGCCAACAAAGGGTATATAACAAAGTATTGAGAAACTTTTATTATTGACCAAATACTTATTTTCCACCATAATTTGCAAATAAATTCATTAAAAATCCTACAATGTGATTTTCTGGATTTTTTTTTCCTCATTTGTCTGTCATAGT